GAGGAGGAGGAGGAGGAGGAGGAGGAGGAGGAGGAGGAGGAGGAGAGTGGACTGCATGCAAGGGCGGCCAAGCAGAGGGGGCAGGAGTGAGAGGTTGCCGGGGCCGGGCAATTGGGGACAAGTGTCGCCGGGTCGAGGCAGCGGTCGCGGTCGTCGTGTTGGTGGTCGTGGTGGTCGTCGTGGCGGATGTCGTTGTCGTGGTCGTGGTGGTGGTGGGCGTCGTCGTGGTGGCGGCTGTGCGGGGGTGGGCTGGGGCGAGCTACCGAGTCTTCCTTTTTTGGGAGCAGCGGGCCCTGCTGTTGTGCAGACCCTCCCCGGGCTTGAGCTCGCCCTCCGCCGGCCCTTGGGGAAAAGGGCTGCCGCGCTGCCCTCTGCTTCCCCCTTTTTTTTGTTCTCTCTCTCTCTCTGCCTTTCTCTGCCTTTCTGTGTCTCGCCCCTCACGCTGACGTCCCCAGCTGGACTTAGCCCCAAGGCCAAGGAGGACAAGAAGAAGGCTGCGGACAAGCCTGACAAGGACGGGGACGACGATGCTGCTGCTGATGATAGTGAGGATGACGGCGATGAGGATGTTGTTGTCACTGATGCGGGTGAAGATGGGGAGGATGGGGAGGTGGGGCAGGGGAGGAGCACTAACTTATTCCTGCAGAATTGTTCGGCGGTTCTAAGGTTTCTTTAGAGGCCCTAGGGAGTCTGGGGAGTGTGGAGAGGGGGCGGGGGGCTGAGGAGGAGATGGGGAGTGGAGTGGGGGACATTGGGGGGGAGGTGGAGGTGCAGGTCGGGAATGTGGCAGACGCGGCAGAGAAGCGGAAGAAGATGGGGAGGGGCAGGGCAGGGTCAGGGGGGGGGGGGGGACGAGGTGGACGAAGGGATGAGGCATATAATATCCAGCTGCCTACGGCAAATCTCCCCACCCTGCCTGGGGGGCGGGTATGAAGCCCGTTGGATGTTCGTTGGGATCTCGTGGGCGGCCTCTCGGGGGTCTCCTGGAGGCAGCTTCGAATCCTCTGTGTGGCCGTTCTGGGGCTTCTTGGGGCCTCTTTTGGGCCTCTTGGGGGCCTCTTGAGAGCCTCTTGGGGGCCTCTTGGGGCCTCTTGTGCGCTCCATCGAGTCCGTGGGTTTGGCATTGGCGAGACGAACGTACAGTACACCGCGTATCCTCACTAGCGCGTCCAGCAGACCAGAAGGAGAAGCTGACTGGCATTTTGCGTTTCCGATAGTATTGCCTCCCAAGGATATCTGGGATTACCTGAGAACTGAGAGCTATCTCAGGGATGGGCCTCTCGGAGTCATTCTGCGAGACGATCTGGGCCGAGGGCCATCGTGGAACTATCTTAGGCCGTCATCGACGTTCTGGTGGCCCGCGACCCCCCGGTTGAGACCCCAGGGGATGATAGACCCCTCTTCAGAAGAGAATAAGTGTTGGATCGGTAGAGCTGTGGCCCGAGTCTGCTTGATCATGCCCAGATGGCTAGCGGCTAGCCGGAATTCCCCGCGCTCTGCCCGACATCGGCATTTCTCACATCGCAGGCTCAGAACGAGCTCCACCGAAGGAGACGTTTCCGCGTGAAGAGGCAACGCATCAAGGTCCGACCTGCAAGGAACTGGCTGCAGCGACTGGCGAGGAAACTCGCCAAGTGTGCTTTGCGCTTCCAGCTGGAAGTGCACAAGCGCTGCGCACACCACCAGGATTGTAAGTTCGACGAAAATCGACACTGCACGAGATGCCTGAAGCCCGGTACGTGCACCAAGGACGCCCCTCGGGCGTTCTCGCTCAAGCTGCGCAACGCAACGCGAGCCATTTGTCTTAACCCATTTATCTGCGACCCTGAACCACAGTTCGGTCCTGAACTCATCGCCGCCAAACACGTGGACGACATTAGCATGACAGGAGTCGAAAAGAATGTAGACGAAATCGTCTGTCAGGTAGAACAAGTCTTTGGCATATGCAGGCTTAGCAAACGAACCTGCACGAAATGCGCCGTGCGACGCACCAAGGACCACAAAGGGGACGTTGTTGCGGATCAAGACAGTTATACCAAACAGCTCCGAACCGTAATTCGCCCTGAGCTGATTGGCGCACCCGCGGAGGCGAAGGCAACGACAGTTGTCTCCGGCATGTTTGTGAGCCCTCGTGCGACCCTACCCTATGCACTTCTTGCCCAGATCTGGTTAGTGGTCTGTATGTGGTCTCTCTCCAGAAGATGCAAGAGCCCACGAGTATCCCGATACGTCGCTCATCAGCGGTCCAAAGAGGGTCACTTCCTTTCGAATGCGCCCTACGGGCGAAGTAGACATCCACAGCGACTCTGGCTGCCGCAAACTGGATGGTGGTGAGGACGATCGAACCTAAGGCCTAAGGCTACATCATCCGAGGAGCAAGGCTGCCAAAGGCGAGGAAACTCGCCGAGTGGCAATTCTGTTGTGCACTTGTGCGACGGCATTTGCAAGTCTACTCGTCTTCAGGTGCGGTCCAGCTACGCAGCGGAAACGCCAGCGGCCGCCCGCAATCTAGACGAGGCATATCCTACACTCATTACCCTACATGAATTGCTCGCCGGGCTGTTATCACCAAAGGTACTTCGCGACGTGCGAGAAACTGGTGGATTAGCTATGAAGGTATCCGTAGATGTTAATGCGGAATGTGCATGCAAGTTGTTGTCTAGCAAAGGTTGGAATAATCCCACCGAGCGTACTCATCTCGGTCACATGCCCTGGGTGCGCGAACTCATGGACATAGGTCTACTACTTAACGTGAAGTGGTGTGACACGTCGCTGGAGACAGCTCCTGACGTGCGCAGCCTCGAGGCCTGCTGGCCTCCAACGTGCTTCTTGTGCGGGGAATGACTCCGTTTGGACTCACTCCTTTCTGGGCTTTGGTAGTCCGAGCTTCCAGGAACTGCTGGCGTAAAATCTTTCCAGCCCGTTTTGCTTGACGCGCTGATGAATTTTGGTGCGCTCCTTGAGCAAGCATAGGGCGGCGGAGTGCAGCGCTGTCTCCCCCCTCCCCGACTCGAAAGGGGGGCGCCCGGGGGGGGGCGGGATGCGCGCTCTCGTGCTGTTTGGCTGAAGGCTCGCGCGCCTATACGTCGACGCATGGACACAGGCGTCCTATCCGAGAGGAGACTCGTACCTTCCCCATCCCACACCCCATCTTTCATCCCATACTACTTACAGCGTCCCTGCCGTTTCGTATATGTGATGACTCTGTGACCTTACCACGTTTTTCTCGACTGTTTGTGTGTGTGTGCGTGTAAGTATTTGAACAGCTGCGATCTATGTGGTAATGCAGAACAGTGCGTTTGTATACGTACCCGATTCTCGCTTCATCTCTCTCTCTCTCTCTCCCCCTCCCTCCATCCCTCTCCCTGTCTTTCTTTCGCTCCCTTCTTTTGTGTGTCCCGATGTGTGTGTGTGTGTGTGTGTGTGTGTCTCTCTCTATATATATAGGTATTCTCTCTCTATATATATGTATATGTATACAGATGTACATCTGGAGGGGTGCGTGGATAGGTGCAGGTCCGTGCATATGTTCACGCATTAGACCTCCACACCACATAACAGAAGTGCTCTGACCTGCCTCTCGCCCCCTCTGGCCTCTCCTCCTGCTCGCCGCCGCCCGCCGCCGCCCGCCGCGCCCCCGCCCCCGCCCTGCGGCAGGACCCGCTCCCGGAGCGCCGCGGCCGCGACGGCGACGGCGAGCGCGGCCGCCGCGGCCGCGACGGCTCCCAGGAGCGGGGTTGGACAGAACCCCCTCCTCCTCCTCCTCCTCCTCCTCCTCCTCCTCCTCCTCCTCCTCCTCCTCCTCCTCCTTCCTCCTCTCTCCTCCTCCTCCTCCTCCTCCCCTTCTTCCTCCTCTTCGTCCTCCTCCTCCTCCTCCTCCTCTTCCGCCTCCTGCTCCTGCCTCCCGCCGCCTCCTCCTCCTCCTCCTCGCCCCTTGCCCCCACCTCCCAGAGATTCGGGGGTGGGCAGAACCCCCAACAGTGACACGTCGATTCGTGAATTGTCAGTTTTCGGTTCTCGAGGGGGCGCCGCGGCCGTCATTTTCCAGGCTTGCGCCCGCCATAGGTTTGGGCCTCGGGTCGTTTTCGCTAAACCACGTTTTACTGAAGGGGGGTCTGTCCATCCCCGACAGGAGCGCCGCGGCCGCAACGTCTCCCCGGAGCAGCGCCGGGAGCGGCGCGACCGCGACGGCGGCGACCGCGAGCGCGGCCGCGAGGGCGGCCGCGACGGCGAGCGCGGCGGCGAGCGGAGGGGCTCGCGCAGGGCGCCGGCAGCGGCGGTGGTCCTGGAGGCGGCGCCGAAGGATCGGGGGCCACGCCGAGAGGGGACGATACCCCAGATTTCGTGATAAAAGGGAGGGGGTCTGGACCCTCCAAGATAAGCCATTTCAGACCTCCCCCGTGGGGGAGCCCTCCAAAGCACCGTCCCCAGACCCCTCAGGCCCCCCAAGATAGCCTGGAAGAGACCCCCCTCCGAAACGAGACCCCCCTCTCCCTTTATTACGAAATCTGGAGTAGGGGGTTCGACGCTGGTGGGGTGGGTGGGTGCGGTGTCGTCGGTGCTCTTCGGCCTTGCAGCTTCGGGGTGCCTCCCAGCAGCTGCGCCTCGCCGGGGGCGTTCCGGGGGGGTGCCCAGGTCGCCCCGAGCGGCCAGGGGTGAGCCGAGTTCTGGCCTGAGGGTTAGAGGGCGGGGATCATTGTGGGATTTGGCTCAGGGGGCGGAGGAGGAGGAGGAGGAGGAGGAGGAGGAGGAGGAGGAGGA